TCTTGTAATCAACATGTTGAAAAAATATGGATGAAATTACCTGGTCAGCACAATAATGTTTATCAAAACTGAATATGTTTTATAATTTAGATTCCTCAAAGTAGGCCCTGTTTTCTACCCCCACAGCCCGAAGTCTTTGATAATACCCGGGCTCCTGTTGACATGACAGTTGATATCTGAAGGGTAAGATACAGCAGGGGGCAGAAATCCCTCCCACTATTGCGGGCCTTCAACGGCTCGCACGGATCATATCCCACAATTTGTCAGTTGGGGTCATAAAACGAAGGAGCGCTGGTAGTTGCTGTTGAAAGCGACAGCAGAGGCTGATAAAGATGGATGGGAGAGGAGTGGGGGGGTGGGGGGTGAAATGACAGGCTGGGGCAGACACAAGGGAGTATGCTCCTGTTTATGAGGTGGTGAGTTTGTGTTGCGAGTCAAAGCCTAACGCCACAATCCCAGAATATATTGACAGCTCTGGCCTCCAGAGTCACAAGTACTTCCTGCGCTGGAAGGACCTCCGAGATCATCAACATGTAGTGCTTTGCTGTCAGGCACAGTGAGGCCTTCTCAAAGGCAATGACGTACACTTTAATCCTAAATTCTAATATCTGCTCTGTGAAATTGTAACCATTTATGCATCTACTCTTTTCATTTTGTAGCATTTCTTTTCGTTGCACTACTTCGACGATTTGAGAGCAGAGAGAACAGCTTTTCATGAATTTCATTGGATATACTGATTTTGTTTTCTTGTTTTTTTAACCCTGACATGTACCCTGTAACTTGATAACATGATAAGATGTCTACTGTAGTAGCCGCTGTCCCTGAAAGGGTTAATCCTTCAAATTAAAAAAAAAATAAAAATGAAGGTAGCCAATGCACCGCAAGCTACTTTTAGTACGTTTGATGACCGGCATACAACACGCTGCGTTCACATATGACTTTGCCCGCCCAGTGATTTTGCTCTTAACCGTACCCGAAACAACTTTGGCACCCACTGACATCTGGGAGATGCGTCATTGCAGCTGTGCAGGAGAAGACTGGCTTTTCGGGCCAAAGGGTCTCCTGTTTTCTCCCATCATTTGGGCACCTTTGCAAAGGCCCAGCTGGTGCCTTGCTTCACTGTGAAACGCACATGTGCTTTCCATCAAAATTCACATGTAAACAACCAGAAGCATAGCCCTGGGCAAAACTCAAACCAGGTCTCAGAGACTTCAGTTCCCTTGAGACATTTCGACATGAATTTTCTTGTATTCTGTTGAATTGAAATTTTGAATCGAAGGTGTACTCATCATTGGGAATGTCAGCCTGAGAGAACAAAAAACAAAAAATACAGGTCTGATAAATTTACTTTTCAAAGATTCTGAGGACAATTTCATGAACAAGCCTTGAAATGATTTCCTCTGCTTTTAACATGACATTTAAATTATTACTATACAAAGTAATGTTACTAAAGTTTGACATAGGCTTCCGCACGACGTCAGCGATATGTTAAAAGGCTTTATTTGTTGCAGGGAATGAACAGCAAATTTCAACAAATGTGTAGCTAGCAGCTAGTAAGCTAACAAACTATGGTAAAATCACCCATGTGAATATCAAGAAGCAAATTATAGTTTGTCACTTAAAATAAAATCCAGTCCAGTTTTATGAAGGACAAAGACCTATTTTGTGATAGATTTTTGAAAAATTTAGGCTCCAAAGCCAGTATCAAAGGACAACATGCAAATTGGTACAAATCTTCACCATAAGCAACCCTACAAAGCAAAAACAAAGCAAAACAACAACAAAAAACATCATGAAAATATGCCCGAAAACACGTGGGAAGTCTGCCATTGTGGTTTGAAGTTTTAGGGAAAATTGTGAACTGCCCTAGGAATTGCCTAATTGCTACCAAATTGTGAATTGCATCTACTAAACAGATGTGCGACAGTAAACCACAAAACATTTGAGTTTTTGTTATAGCACGTGGCTGTCGCATGGCGGCAAAGTTTGATGACTCTCCATAAAACGCTTAAGTCTAATAAGTCAACCCCACAAGGCCAAACCAAATCTCGTGTGTTTGATGACGGTCCACGCCCGGAAGACATCATGTATGCTCTACAGATGCAGACAAACTCACATTGTCCTCCATTTCATCCGGTTTTTTTTTTGTTTTTTTTTAAAATCAATGAGTGATTTCCAGTGGAGCAGCTGTGTCCTGCACATGGACATTCTGTCACTCTCACGACTAAAATCCAAAAAAACAAACAAATGCCATATCACGCAATACAACGAAATGGACAAAGACATGTGTGCAAGCTGTTATTCCAACGGATGAACACTTAGCATGCGCTAACACACTTGGAGGGGTTCAGACAGAGTGTGAATGATTGTGGTAAGAGGAGAGGGCTGCCCCAGAAAGCCCCCCCAACCCTCCACCCCAACCGGTGGCTGATTGATTAATGTTGTCGGGGCAAAGGGGTCCCTGGAGAGGATGAGGAACCCCGTGTGATATGTGGAAGGTTTTACGAGCAGCGGCGAGCTTGAAAGTGATGGGATGAGATCCTGGCCAAACGGCCGGAATGAGAAATCCATCAGGAATGCGTTGACTTTCTCTCCTCTCACCTCCCCCAACTATGGGAGAACAGCTGCCGCTATAACTCTACTGTAAATATTTTCCCTCGCTGACACACAGCTGCGTGGCACCCAAGCAGGCAGGCAGGCAGGCAGCTCGCAGGCTCTTTATCCAATTGGACTACAATACTGGAGGCTCGTGATAAGCATGGGAACTTCTTAGCAAGCACTGCGCAATGCAAGCTATACTAGTGGAACAACAATTGCATTTGTCGGGATTAGCAACCTATCAAACTACATCTACATACGTAAAGCGAGAATTACGATTCCAGTGTGGAAGAGCAGACACTAGCCTAGCTTAGCTATCCAAAGCTCATCGTAGCATAAAATTAAAACTGGTACAATAGTCTGTAAAATCACTGTCATGGCGATTTTTTTTTTTTACAATAATATGTGCCCCACTATTCTAAACACAGTATTCTTATTAATATTGCATTTGTTGAATATCAATTAAGCAGCAAGATCCACCCATTTTTAACCATCTCAGGGGGCGGCCATTTTGCCTCTTGCTGTCGCATCACAGTTGTTCAGGGTTCAAAGTAATGACCAATCACAGCTCACCTGTTTTCTGAGTTCTGTCATGCAATATTTGCAATCTGAACTGTAATTGGTTGTTACCTGAGACCTGAGACAACATGCCCTTGTGACCCCTGTGAGGCTAATCGGATCAGAAAATGGATGAAAGGATGGAAATGATCACTCTAAAATATTATACTGTATAAAATGTCAACAATCAAGCAGTTTCTACATCATGATTAATTCATTGTGATTTCTTCTGGTATGCGGGACTTGGGAACCAGTGCGTAGTATAATACATTCATGCAGACGACACAAACAAAGAAGAGTTTTACAACTACTCTGAGGGACTCGGAAAACTGCAGTAATATTACTATTTTGGAGAGGATGAAGAATATATGGCTTTCTGGGAGTTGTTATATTGCCTGTCTACATGTGTTGGTGCAACGTTTGTGTTCAAATATCCATTGCTTGCATCACTGTAAGCCAGCTAAGTCGAGACTGTTCATTAGTATTAAGCTAGCAGACGTTAAAGCAAATTGTTACACAATGTGTAATACTTTTCTTTAAGGTTTAGTTTTCCAGTAAGCTTCGACTGGCAGTAAAAATAAATCAATAGTAAAATAATCCTTCACTAACTGCCATACTGCTGCTTGTTGTTCATGTTGTTGTTGTCATGTTCAAACAGATTCCGAAGAGCGAAGAACAGTCATGCAATTTGTCAAATGAGTAAATACGGTCTTAAAGTCTGAAATGGAAGGCTTGAAAATGCTCAATTAACCTCGAGTCTAATTAAGACGCGTATTCAAAATGTGTTAAAAGCTTTCTTATGAGAATTTTGTGGGATTTTTTTTCCCCCCAAAATTAAAACACTTCAAAAACACAGCAGGCATACCCTGAACATGACAAGAACATGACAAGAACATGACAAGGTTATGATTCCGAGCGTTAGTTTATCCATCCATTCATTTTCGAAAGTGTTTGTCCTCATTTGGGTCACAAGCAATGTTCTCTCTCTAATTTTCCATGCGACTGAGCATTCACACAAACTCCCTGAGCTTTCCTTGGACCACAGTGAGCAGCAACAGACATACACACAAAATCACACCTGTCCAAAACCTGAGATTCTAACACGTTAGATGATGTTACCCACCACGACCCTTGTGAGGATAAACGGATCAGAAAATGGATGGATGCATGGATATTCCATGAGTGCTGAGGGGATGAAAACAGTGCGCAATTGTGCACACACATGTTAGAGATAACAGTGGTCATAAATTTACTTAAGTTGGTGTCTGTCGTTTTTGTTTTAGGGTTTATGTTAGGATTTGTGCATTTGGGGGTTTGGGTTAGATTTGGGATTTAGGGCTGGGATTCGGAACTCCAAGTAACTTTCACTGGAATTCAGACCTCTGCTACGGCCAAATTTTGGATGCTCTGGTTTTTGATGATGAGAATATTTGCTTATTCCTAAAGGACAATGATCAGTCTATGGCGCCATGATGATTGGAGGGGATGGACAGCTCCAATGTTGCAGCACCTTTATCTTGATCCTCATCAATATCTAATGGTCTCAACTAAGTTTTGGACAGCCTATTTTGTGCAACCTTAATAACTGTGTGTGACCTACCATTTACTACGAAATAATGATCAGTCTATGGCGCCATGATCATTGGAGGGGATGGACAGCTCCAATGTTGCCAGAGAGACTCAAACAGCGCCTTTATCCTGATCCTCATCAATATCTAATGGTCTCAACTAAGTTTTGGACAGCCTATTTTGTGCAACCTTAATAACTGTGTGTGACCTACCATTTACTACGAAACATCAACAAAAGAACAAAGCTTAATATTGGTGGGCAGGTTTCACTCTACCTGCACCCTGGCCTCTGTCAGTTTGGTCCTCTGGGCCAGCTCCTCCCGGGTGTAGATGTCCGGGTAATGCGTCCTCTCAAAGGCTTTCTCCAGCTCCTCCAGCTGCTCTGCGGTGAAGGTGGTGCGACTGCGCCTCTGCTTGCGCTTCAGCGGCAAGTCGGGCTCGGAATCCACGTCGGAGCCGTCGTCTGTGCGGCTACCTGAAGAAAAGCATGCAGGGGGTTCATTGGTGTCATCAAGGTGGGTGAGCAAAAGACAAGAATGTGAAGGCGTATGAGGGACCGTAAGACAGTACATTAGGCATTGTAATGCCACTGCATGTGGGAAAGGAGAGCCACGGTGACTGATGCACATTGAAGCCAACACCGGTAGAGCACTAAAATACACGAACACAATGAGTACACGCCACACTACCAGGCCCCGCCCTCCTAAAGGCACATCTATATAACATTATGCATCTGTGTGCCCTATACAGTGACAATGTTTTTATTTGATCATTAATTATTAGAGAAGGCCAGTTAGCTGTTGTTAATCAGGCACGTTATAATTATGCAACAGCAGTAACGTAAATTAAACGCGTGCCCCAAATAGTGTTTGCAGATGATCTTTCATTTCATTCGTGAGTGAACTACGTCATCCACTTTTTAAAAATCCCTACATAGTTCTTAGGGAATAGAGAATGACTGAATGATTACGTTTGGAATTCTTCACCCATTCCCGACTTCCTAATCATTATATAAGGAGCCCAGTGTCCTTTGTAGGTTACGACGAGGTCACGATATAAAACAAATGTAGAACGTCTATGCATTTTATGCTCGAAATTTATTTGTAAAATGGTTACGTTGTGTTTAAAAATGTGTCGTAATGAGTTTAAATGTGTTTCAAGTATTTGGGAAGGATAGATTTACAAAATAAAAAAATTGGAATCAAAAATACAAAATCAAAAGAATTCCAAAAAAAACAAGACACGAAAGTATCGGGCTGAAAGTGAGAATGGACTCACAAAGGGGAACATGACAAGAACACCAACAGACAAGACACGAAAGTATCAAACTGAAAGTGAGAATGCACTCACAAAGGGGAACATGACAAGAACACCAACAGAAGCAGTGACCTGACAAAGACAGCAAGAAACCAGAGAACGAAGTGCAAGCAAAGTGACGGGACAATTAGGAACGCCTGGACAGGACACGAGCGGTTTAAGGGAGCTGACGTGAACAGGTAAAAACAAAACTAACAAGAAACACATGAAAAAAGCCACATGAGGAAGCAAAACAAAACATGAAACCTGTTTAGATGACTACATGTCATCTCGACAACACAAAGACATTACGACAAATAGCAGCCACAATCTCGCTTCATAACAGGGAAGTTGATTGCTTTTCAAAAGCAAAAATGGTTTCTTCCACTTTCTGCTCCATGTCAAAAGATTTGTGAGCATATCACATTCGCGATTCTAAAATAATTGCTTTCAAAATCGTCAGCTCCCAACAGAATGCTCTTGTTTTGGTTCTTATGGTGAGTGTGCAGGGGCGGATCTATTCCAGTGGGATACAGGGCCACGACCACCCCAAAATTTTACTTTTTTTTTAATTTGCATCATCGCCTTTAGCAGAAACCAGTGATGTGACAGTTTTTCCAAATAGTCATCACATATAAAAACGATATAATTGCTTTATACATCGACTTTAGTGTATTAAAGCATAAATGCAAGTCAGAGAATGTCACTGTCCAGTAAGCGGTCTTCAGAGGAAAAAATTCTCCCCCATCTCCCATGTCAGAAATTTTCACCGATCGTGGGTGGGTCTGGAATTTATCACTCGTGATAAAGGAGGGTTCACTACTAATAATCTGTGATGATTTATTTGATATAAGAGAGGCCCTGATACAAAATCGTGGCTCCGATAGGGGGTGGGGGTGGTGGGGTTGCCTGAGGAAGTTAAAGCGGAATGCCGGAGCAGGGGAGGGGGCATAGCTGGGTAGTCGGGTTAATCTGCGCGGGCCACCTTGCTGCTCCTCGCCTCAACTTGGCCCAGGGCACACTGCTTATACACAGCCGCAGTGTGTGCGCGCGTTAACATGCAACACAATATCGCGGCAAAACCATTCAGCCCAACGCTTGTGTTTGCGTCTGCTGTCATTAAGTGAATTAGAACACATTTTACACGACTTTTCAGGCATTCGGCTAAGCCGACTTTTTGCTCGAGGAAGGGAGATACGGCACAAAGCGGCACAATCCGGGCCCGACAGGGACGTTTTTTGACAGCAAAACGCGCATTACCATCGCGCATTACCATTAGAACTGAATTTAGAAAATTGCATCATTTTCACCTCCTCTGCACGTCTATTCAGACTACATGGCCCCTTTCATTTCATGTCACGAAATTCTTATTTTCATAATTTCCTCATTGAGACAGTGACAAGGCGCCGCTGACGTGCCAGTGTTGCTGCAGGCCTTGTTGGATTGCATCACGCACAGTCCAGAAAAGTGTGGGAGAGGGAGAATAAAAGGGAAGACGCGCAAGAGGAGACACCTGATTCCCGCTCATGACACCATTCAGCTCAAATCAAAGACGGAATGGTCACCTAAACCATTGTTTTCATTTGTGGCACTCTTCAGCGGCATCTTTCAGCACAAGTGGACAAAAGAATACTCCGACGAAAAACAACTGTGAGAACAAAAGAGCAACAGAGCTGGCAGAGTCTCAAGGCCGGCTCCAGAGTTTAATTAAACAAGGAATTAGGGGATTATATGGAGACTATCATCACAGGCCACTCCACCAACATTTTTTTTTTTTTTGTCCCCCCTGAGCTCGCGCTCGACGATTCTCTGCGGATTACAACGTGGCCGCCGGACATGAGGCCGCATTCATTAAATCAATTCTTCAGTCTTATCCGTTTTAATAAAAACCGATTCTTGGAACGCACGCCGCCCTTGAACATACAAAAGTTGAATATGTACATACACCGCGTATCCTTTTGTTGGTTTTTATGAGGATGCGTACATCCGTCGGCTCGCTAAGTTGCCGTGACGACACTTGAGACCGGGCCCGGATCGCTTTCCAAAGTCACCCCCGACGTCCTACCGGGGGGACACGTCGTCAACG